TTTCTATTTTCCTGTTTATTTTAAAGGAATTCGGGAGATACAACTACTGTACTTTTCCTCATCAAAATCATTATCTTGAGTCTCTTTGGTGGTTAACTATATTGTAGATAAGTTTAATTTCCCGTTCTTTAGTAGTATGACACATAGTAATATTGTATTCTCATTTTTCTTTCATCTTTCTTTAGTGAATATGGTTATCGTCCCCAGTTTCACCCCTCAAGCTAAGTATTTAGATTACTGCATTTCATTCTTCTCTTCTCATAGCTTGAGTATAATAACCATGATCAGTTTTGTTATTGGTTTCTATTGCTGGCGGTTGTCTATCCCAGTCTGTCAGTTCCTTTGTCACGAAATGTTATTTCGTGTATCTTGATCGCTTTTAATAGGTCTCGAAATGAATCTGGTTTTGTGTATTCTTTTTCTATTTGGCAGGAAGACAAGATGTGCATCGGTTGGCAAAACAGTGGCATGGAGCCCCAAGAAAAAATGAATATGACAGTTTTAGGAGGTAAGACCCATATGCTTGCTGTGCTATTTTTATTTCTTTTCTTCCTTGTTTTCTTAATGATACTTTTAAGTGTAGCGGAGACTATATTTATATTGTTTGCTTCCATTGTCATTAGCTGTTAAAATTCAAAGAGCCGTCAGCCAAATAACCTGCTTTCGTTTGAATTATTGACGTGAATCTTGCATACCCTTGATTAACATTTTACTGGTTAGTTCCATTTATCGTCATTGATCACAGAACTGATCATGAGATGGCTAATATAATTGAAGCAAAGGCAGTACACATTATATCTCAAATTTCAGAACTGCACCTTCACTTACTCGGTTACTCCTAGATCGCTTGAGTTTGTTTTCCTTGTTTTGAACTATGTTATTGATGACCGACGAGGAAGATAAGACCTGGAGTTTTCTATTCCTACCCGAATTCACCCATCATCTTATTCTTTCCCTTTGCCTCTATGAAGACTAAGTAGCAGAATCAATTACTTTCTGGGACATGATATTCAACTTCATGTTCTCACTATGTTGCTCTCTGAAAATTCATCAAAATTTCCAGGTGCCAGTAATCAGATATTGTTTCGGTACCCTCTTAGGAAATGTGAACCTATTGATTAAAGATGACATAACTCGTTTATTTAACTACTTGTAATCTGCAAAGGTGTGGACATGATATATATATGTGTGTGTTTGTGTTTGTGTGTGTGTGTTTGTGTGTGTGTATGTGTGTGGCTGTGTGTGTGTGTGTGGGTGGGTGGGTGGGTGTGTGTGTGTTCTTCAAGTAATCAAGTCTGAAGTTTGGTTTGACCGATATTGGCAGATCTGGTCCTATCAAACAAACTGGTCTTGTATGATCTTGAAAAGCAAGCGATTGGATGGACTGAATATAACTGTAAGTACTGATATGCATATAATTAATTGCTTTATGGTTGATTGAACTCATAAATGTTCTAGAAGGTTTTTTAAGTTAAGCACATGCCTAAATGTAAGTTTTGATCCTATTTATACTAGTAGAGCACACCACTATTTCACAGGTGCTAATTAAAGTACATACCTATAAATTTGAAAAAAAAATCATTTAAGTTTTAAAATTTTATTTTTTATTTTTTTAAAACAACTACATTATTATTTATAGTTAAAACGACACATGTCACTTGTACGACATATTGTCCTTTATTATAATGTTCCTTCTCTTCATATTGTATAATAGACCTTTTTTTTTTTTTTCCGCAACGATAGAAATAACTATTAAACCGAAAGCTAGCAGAGCTCGAATACAACTAAGTTCCAACTAAAACAACAACATGGGAGGTGCATCTAACTAGATGACCTAGAGCCTCAACAAGGAAAAACAAGAGAAAAGCAAAAAAAAAAAAAGAGCAAACAATCACCACTGCTACAAAGCCTAGCAAATTACCTGCCCTTGCTACACTACTAACAAAGAAACAAACCAAAGAAACAAAGAAAGAGACCAACTAATTCTTGATTGATAAAGTCGGTTAGAGAGAAACGAGCTTCTCTCA